TATTAGTAAAGAAAGAGTGAGTCTCTTTCTGTCCAACTGTGTTTGTCGGTTAGAAAGGCGCATCTATCAAAGAAACTCCCAGTTATTGTGACTCTCAGCATATGTTTGAACTGAGTAATTTCTTGGTCAAACAGGGCCACTTACCATTCACTTTGATGAAAAACCAAAAATTGAGCATCGTCACATTCTGCACAGATTTGTGTCTCAAGCTGAGTCTTTGTTAATGGATTACTCTTCTGCCCTGTAAGAAATCCAAAAGCTATGATTCTCGTGTGATATCATGTCTACTCCTTGGAGCTCCTAAAAATACACTTCGAAGTTCCCGTTTCATGATAGGCCTTAAACAGCTCCACCTGTAAGGAGGAGATTTAAAGTGACTACAAGTGTTCCTCTGGTTAGGAGTTTAATATCTATCTGCTGGGAGATTTATAAACCCGTTGGAGTCTGCTTGGGCCAGGGACATAACACAAAGGGCTAATGTGCACTGTACCCGGGAAACGATATTGATGGTGTACAACTGTTGTGTAATTGTCAACTCTAATTTGTATTTCTATTACATGTAATATTTAGTTATAAGTCATTTATATAAAAATAGTAGGATACAAACTAAACCCACCAAATTCAACAGTATTTCTATATGTAGTAATAACAAAATCCAGGAGAAAATAACAAAAAAGGAAGATCAATATATTCCAAAGTACCAAATACCTGGGAGTCGATCTAGTAAGGCATAACAATTAGATGACGTTCCCTAAAGAATGGCAAATAAAAATGTCTAGCATTTCTATAGCATTTTAAGGTTTGTAAAGCATTTTTGCATGTTACCTCAGCTGATCCTTACAGCAACCCTGTAAAACATTTTTACAGATAAGGAAACTGAGAAGAGAAAGATTAAGTGACTTGCACAGTTACACAGCCAGAGAGGGTCTGAGGCAGAATTTGAACCCAGGTCTTCCTGACTCTGAAGACAGCTCCACTCCACCATGCTGCCTTTGACATAACCAGACTTCATAAAAACTTACTGAATTGACACGGAAGCTTTCTGGATCTATTGTTCAATATGAAAGTGAAGTTTGGGAAAACTTAATCAACTTTCGCAAAACTGCTGTTTCCAATTATTCCTATATTTGGCATCGTGAAATCAGGCTGTAAATTGGTGTTTGAATTTTTATCCACTTTCAGATATCTGCTCCGCCTAATGTAGATATAGTCTCAGGTTGTTTGATTTCACTGCTAGGTAGAAAGAGAAATAAACATATACCTACTAAAGGAAATTTGCTTCACTTTGGGTTTCTCAGTGCCAGAGAGAAGGAAAGTTCTGTTGATTTCTTCTCTGAATTGGCTCAAAGTAAGATTCATAGATTCAGAGCTGGAAGGGACCCCAGAAGCCATCTAGACCTGCCTCCTCATTTACAGATGAGGAAACTGAGGCCTAGAGAGGTTAAGGGACTTATTTTCCAGCTCATAGAGTTACAGCTAGAAGGGACCTCAGAGATCATCTAGTCCAACTCGCACACTTCATATCTGAAGAAACTGAGAACCCTGAAGATAAAGTCACTTGATTTCTAGAGCCACACAATTAGTAAATGTGAAAGCTGGGACTCAAGCCCAAGTTGTTGGACTTGAAGGCAACACTCTTTCCAGTACACTACTATACTTCTCATCATTCGTCCCATCCTACCAACCAATCACCTAACAACCATGTTTTAAGATGCTACTGTTGTCTTGACTTCCCCAGTTAGGCTAGTCCACCCTTGGGTCCTAGCAGTAAGCATCTTTAGATCCCTTGAGTTAGGAACAGCTGCATTGACTGAAAATGGTGGTCTGAAGTGAAATCTATTGAAGTAATTGGAATTGGTGGGCCAGTTAAGGTTGACTGTAAAAGCCTGTCTTGGGGGAAACAGTGAATGATCCCATCTGGCAATGATCTTATAGGCTTCACATCTCATGGGGGATGCTCAGCCTTTCTGAAGGCCTAGAGTAGACTTCATCAGTCTATGTGTTTGTCAGGATCTCAGGCTGTGGTCTTTAGACAAAGAACCTGGAGGCCACATTTCCAAAAACAGCTCTTCAGTGACCTGGGTTTTCATAGAGTGGGTCCTTTCTCCACCCAAGCAAAGCATGACCTCTCTGTGATATGGTAGGAAGGCTCTGAGAGATGTTGGCCAGGGCTCAGAAGCTCATCCCTCACCCCATGGCTGACTTAGAGCTCAAGCTCTCTGGCTTTGGATAGGCTCAACTCGAAGCAGAGCTCTGTCACTGGGCTTGTGCCTGAAACTCTTCCAGCTTGGCAGGCCCCTCTGAGTTTGTGGTCCTCTGACCCAACATCACCAGCGTACCACAAGGAGGTGCCGTATGGAGGTGGGCTCTCTTTCATTCTTCATCATCCCTCTCCAACTGAATTTGCAACAGGAGCACCCCCTGAAGTTAACCTTGAGAAAGTAACGGAAGCCAGATCTGGGCAGGCTCCATGTCAGCTTTCCCATATTTCCCCATCAATGCGTTTCTAATTCAGATCTCACGAGCATCCCCCAGGCTTCTTCTGTATGTACACAGACCAGTGCTAACAGCGTGGGAAGACCAGAGTTGAGGTGTTCAGGAAAATTCAGGTAGGAGCTTATATCATGATATTTAGGACTAGCAGAGGCCCTGGGGGTCACCTAGCCCAACTGCCCCACTTACAGAAGAGGCAAGATCTAGAAAGAGCCAGATCTCAAGTCCACATTACACCCAGAGCTGGAAGGAGCCTTGGAGGCCTTCTAGTTCAATCCCCTGATTTTACAATTGAGGAAACAAAGTCTCAGGTTGTGAAGTATCCAAGGTCATACAGATTATAAGAAGGGAACTCATGGAGAAAAGTTGAGAAAATGTGCCTCTCTCCCCTTTTGACAAAGGTAGAGAACCACAGGTGTGGACAATTGAGCAGCCAAGGGGCACCACAGTACACAGAGGGCTGGACCTGGAGTCACGAAGACCTGAGTTCAAATCCAACCTCAAACACTTACTAGCTGTGTGAACATAGTCAAGTCATCTTACCTCTGTTTGCCTCGGTTCCTTCATCAGTAAAATGGGAATGATAATAATAGCACCTACTTCCTAGGGTTTTCATGAGGCTCAGATGAGATCTTTGTGAAGTACTTGACATGTAGTAAGTGATATAGATAGATAGAGAGATAGATAGATAGATACACATACATACACACATATACATATACATATATATGAATATACAAAGGTTAGCTTTTTCAGTATTATTCTGATTGCATAGACTGTCAGATGCAAGTCATATGTTGTCTGGTTTGTTAGGTGGAGGGTTTTAGTTTTGTAGCTTTATTTTTTTCTATTTCTTTTTTTAATCTTTGCTATAAGAGATGACTTGGGGGGGTGAAGGAGGGAAGCCTATACTTAGAAATGAAGGTGATGTAGAAAAAAAAATGTGTGCTTTTTGGTTTTAAATTAGTGGAACCAAACTTTAAGCTGAGATTTTCTGACCCAAGAGGTAGGTAGCCCTTCTCCTCAACCATGGATGCTGAAGGGAGAGAAATTAAGGCTTCTGGTTTTAATGGTGGAATGTTCCCAGCCCCCCAAATGCAGCCCCTGAATTGCCTGTGCAATTGTTGCTACCTCTGAATAGCAGTCATAACAAGCTGATCTGTGTTTTCGCTGCTCTTCCAATCCATGGTCTCGTTGGAGCCTGACAGGGTGGGACCCTGGGAGGCAGGGCTAGGCGTGTACTTGGACAAGCTCATAGAACTCTTGAATTGTTGAAATTAGCAAAGGCTCCAAATCAGGGCACCATTTACTATTTTGTTGGTTGTCTAGATTGAAGATGGTGATGGAGAAAATGTTGATAATGTCAATATAACTTAAAAGTATGTCAGACATATACCTTTTTTTTTTTTGGAGAAGCAATTAATAAACATTGGTCAGCACACACAGATAGGTTCTATAGATATGATCCCCATTTTGTGGATGAGGAAATTGAGTCTCAGATACAAAGTTGGGAGGGTCAAATGAGATAATGATTACTAAATGCTTAGTGCTGTTCCTGGCACATAGTAGGTGCTGTGTAAATGTTAGCTCTCATCATCATCATCGTCATTTATTATCAAAGTGGCTTCTCCATAGTCATATGTCTAGCAAGTGCCAGAGACAAGATTGAAATGACTCCAAGTATGGCACTTTTCCCATTCACTACAGACTACCTCATACCAAAGGACACTGGTAATTAAGAGGCGGATTTCATAGGGCATTCATTCACTCAACTAGGATTTATAGGTGCCCACTATGTTCTGGGTACTGTAGGAAATGCTGAGGTCAGCCTTCACAGGGAGATCAGTTCCTTGAAGTTATGGTCATCTATTCTCACAGAGAGAGAGAGAGAAGAGAGAGAGAGAGAGAGAAGAGAGAGAGAGAGAGAGAGAACAACTTCAGTCTATATTAGTATGGGACATAAAACTTGAGGTGAGAGACTCACTGTGCCTTGGTTGTGAAAGCAGACATGAAGAACTTCAGGGATCATTGGGGAAGGCAGTGTGGTAAGTGGACTGAGTCTTGGACTTGGAATCAAATTCACGCTCTGATGAATGTGAAGATCAAATGAAGTGATATTGTAAAACTGAGTTTTCACATCTTACAATGCTATAGAAATGTTTGTTATTATTCCTCCTCCCTGTGTGACCTCTGGGCTGCAGCTGTCAAACAAAGCCAGAGTAAGACTAGAGGAGCTCCAAGATCCCACTGTTCTCTATCACTTATTTTTTTGTCTTCCCTACCACGTAACCTTTTTTGTTGCATTTTTTTTTTATTTTTGAGAGCATAGGAGTGGAGAATCTGGACCTATAAATTCCTTATCATAGAGGACTGTGGGTAAGGGTGAGGAAACTCATGTAACAGCTGCTTACTAAATGTCTATCGAGTGGAGTATTGAATAAGTGAATGAACGAATCATATACTGGCTGCTTCTCACTCTTCTGCAGCTTTGGATAAACTCCTTTTCAATGATGTCCACTGAGCGGATCCAGTCACACAAGCTCCCAGAAGAGAGACTGGACAAGCGAGACACACACAGCAACCACTTGGGTAAATGTCATGGGGCTGATGTCAATGGCCACTGTGGGAATCAGCAGTCTCTCCTCCAGCAATAAATGCTGCCCATTGGCAGCTTTCAATGGAAGAAAAGTGAGGCCCTGTGAAACCTGATAGACTGTGCCTTCTGGTGACAGAGCCATTGCCAGATGGACAGACAAAAAGTATTTGCTCCTGCTGGGCTCAGCATGTAAATATTAGCTGAAGCTCTAGAGGGAAATTAATTAGAGGCAAAAAAAAAAAAGAAGAAGAACGAGGCATTGTTCTCTCTGATCGGAAAAGAGTCACGGTCTCAGCATTTGTGAAGCAATAAACCGAATGTGGCATTATAGCCCGCTTCCAGTATTTACTTGTATGCATGCACCCCATGTGCGGTTTCAATAAAATATTTCAAATATCTCTTTTTGCCTATCAAGACAGAATTTTAAACAGTTTTTTTCAGCTTTATTGTCAATCTGTTTCCTTTCCAGAACTGACTTTTTGCATAACCTTTGTAATGAAAATACCAGAAGCATCTCTGCCTCTACCCATTTCTAAAAATGAGATGCTCCCACTTTTGATCGATGTGCCTCTTGCATATTCATAGTCCTTGTTTATGCTCCTCTTTGGTTATTACATGCCTCTGCCCCCTCCCCATTTGCCATCAAGATAGTTTATTTTCTGAGATTTCTCCAAAATTGGAAACCACAAAAGGCACAATTTAAGTAAAAGTCAAAATTGAAGCAAAATCCAGGCTCTGGAAAAACATCATGGAGGGAACATGGCCCATAGACAGGGGTCATGTGGGTCAGTGTTCTCCATGAGGATCTGGGTCATGGTCCTCATTCATCTTGAGGACACTGCCTGAGAACCATGGTCTTGTAGCATTATTCATGAGAAACATACCATTTGCTGCTCTCTAATAATCAGGAAATCACAAAATCTTAAAGTAGGAGAGACCTCAGTGGGCAGCTAGTAGAACCCAAATCAGAATAAGAATTCCTACTAGAGCATTCTGAACTCGAAGGCCTCCAGCAACAGGGAGTCCAGAACCTCCCCAGGCAGCCCACTCTACTTTGGGGTACTCCTAATAGGACTTTTTTGTTTCTGTTTCTGATATCAAGTCTGTTTGTATGTGTATGTGTTTCTGTTTCCCTGTCTCTCTGTTTCTGTCTCTCTCCTTCACTCTTCTTTCTGGCTCTCTCTGTGTCTCCCTCTCTCTTTCTCCTTTCCTCTTTTCTCTATCTCTCCTTGTCTTTCTGTCTCTGTCTATCTCCCTCTGTGTCTCTGTCTCTGTCTCTCTCTCTTTCTGTCTGTCTGTCTGTCTGTCTCTCTCTCTCTTTCTCCTTCTTTCTTTACGTCTTCTACCCATTGCTCCCAGTTATCTGGGACCAAACCAAACAAGAAGAATCTCTCCTTCACGTATCGGATCTTCAAATACTTGAAGTCAGCTCTCATGTCTCTCCAGAGTCTTCTCCAGGCTAAATAGACCCAGTTCCTTCAGCCAATCTTTGTGTGACCTGAATGAAGGCCCTTCCTATCCTGGCTACCTCCTAGTTTATCAATGCCCTTTAGAAGCCAAACCACCAAACACAATACTCCAGATGAGATCTGATTAGGGTCGAGTACCACAGCAGGACTATCTGTCACTGACTTGTGTCTGAAAGCTCCTCCCCTCCTGATGCAGCCACTTTTTCGCAGCTGCAGCTCACTGCTGGCTCAGAGTGAACTTTGTAGCCCACTTAAGCCTCCAGATCTTTCTCCAAAACAATCACTGCCTAGCCAGGCTGCCTCCGTCTTAGACCCGTGGATTTAGTTGTTGGACCCAAGTATAAGACTTTACATTTATCTCTACTCAACTTCCAATTCAGTCCAGAACTCTTGCCCAGTGGTTCTCAAACCTTTTGGTCTCAAGACCCTTTACACTCTTAAAAATTGTTGAAGATGTCCCCCAAAGAGAGGTTGTTTATGATGGTTATATCTAACTAGATTTACCATATTAAACATCTTAAGATTGTTATGAAAATAGTATTGATGTCATATGGACCCATTTGAGAGGGTCTCAGAAGTCCCCAAACCAAGCCATGAGGACTGCTATTCTAGCCTATGGAGATCTTTTTGTACCCTGACTCTGCCACTTAGGGGTTAGATATACCTTTCATTTGCAAATGGGATGAGCATGCTAACTATGTTTTTATCCAAGATAAAAATGTTATTAGCAGAGTCAATCAATCACAGATCACTGGAGCACTTCACTAGAGACCTCTACTAGACTGTGAACTCCTTGTGAGAATTTTTTTTTTGGCCTGTCTTTGTATCTACAGCACTTAGCTCTATGCCTGGCACAGAGCAGGTGCTAATCAATGATTGTTGACTTGACATTGATGTTGAAGCATTCATGACAAGTTTTTGAGTGGGGCCATTGGACCATTTCTAAAGCCATGTCTCTTTATCATCTCCCCAAGAATAACATGGGACTCTTTATCAAAGGTTTGTGGAAAAATCTATGTAGCAAAAAAAAGCAATGAAATTACCCTGCCATGCCTTATTACTGATTAAGCCATCCCCGCTGGATGCCTATAATCTCTGTTTCCCTTTCTGCACATTAACCAACCAACTCTTTAATGATCTGTTCTAAAATTTTCCTCTCTCTACTGACACCTCAGGTCTGGGATATCCTTAAAAAAGGAAAGAAAAATTTAAAAAGGGCCATCTCCTGATTTTACCACCCTCTGAAGCTATATTGGACCTCTCCCAGGCCTCCCTTACGTTACAAGTCCTAACTTGAGGCCTCCATCTCCTCACTCCCACTTCTTAGTACCTTGCAAAGTACTTTCATCTCCAAATTCTACCAGGCTGTCTCTGAGGTGGGTCACCAGTGACCTCTTACCCATGAATCCCACCACCCTTTGAGCCCTTCTCCTCATGATCTTTATTTGTATGACATTTTATCTTAAGGATTCTGCTCATTGGGCTTGCATGTCAAGCTGTTTTTGAATCCTGACTGTCTTCCAGTGTGTCCTTTCCAGCTGGGTAAGGTACAAAAAGATCCCTATCCAGCCGTCCTTCCCAGCTTCATGCCACCTGCAGATCTGACACCTATGATGTCTCTGACCTCATCCAAGTTATTGATGAAATTGCTGAACAACACAAGGTTAAGGATGTGTCCCTGGAGCATTCCTCTACAGAATTCTTCCCTCCATTCTTCCTCCTACTCCTTGCTGGCCAGAGTTTTACATCACTCCATTAATAACTACACTTCGGCTTAGGTCATTCAACCAATTCCAAAGCTATCTAATTATATTGTTGTCTATCCTACATTTCTCCATCTTGTCCACGATGGTATCAGGAGAGATTTGATCATTTGCTTTTCTGAAAGCATCTGCCAAATGCTCTCATCACTGCCCTCTCTAATCAATTCTACACAGAGCTGCAAAGTTACTCTTCCTAATGCATTTGTCTGGCCATTGCCCTCTAATGCTCAAATTTTCAATAGCTCCCCAATACTTAAGAAATAAAATACAATCTCCTTAGTCCAGCATCCAAGGGTGCCCACATTCTGCCTCTAGGCCATACCACCCTTATTTCACAGTAGTACCATTGTATACTTTATATTATAGCCACATGGGCCTCCTAGTTACTCCCCAGCCTCATCTTGCACTCTTTTTCCTCCATGCATTTGCTCTAGCTATTTTATGTGCCTGGAATGCTGTCCCTCTCATCTCTGCCTGATGAAATCCTGTATGTTCTGGCAGATCCAGTTCAGGTCCAAATGTCTATGTAAAGACACAAGTCATCACTCCTTCCTCAAATTTCCTTGAGCTCTTTGCCTCAATTCTCCCCTCACCTCTGTCACATATTGATTAAAATATAGTTTTGTTTTGATTTTTACAGAGGTGGTAGAGTGTAACAAAAGTAGAACTCTTCTCAGCCAGGAAGACCTGTATTTAAGTCCCACCTCTGAGTGGTACCTCAATTAATTAGCATTTATCAAGTACCTACTAATTGTCAAGCCCTGGCTATGTGACTTCGGGCAAGTCATTTAAACTTTTGGTACTTTAGGCAACTCCTTAATATACTAAGTGGTGGCAAATATGCTCACCTGCATTAATAGCCATAGTTTTCTCATCGTGGAGTTCATTCTATCAATGAAACCTGCTTTAGTAGCCATAGTTTCCTCATCCTGGAGTTCATTCTATCAGTGAAACCTGCTTGAGCAGCCATAGTTTTCTTATCCTGGAGTTCATTCAATCAATGAAATCACAGGTCCAATTCCTGTCCCTACTTATTTTACTCCTGCCCCTCCTATCATTAGATTATAAGCTCTTTGAAAAGAAAAAAATACTGTATCCTCAGCATTGACCACAGTACCCATAGCTCCATAGATTCCAAACTGGAAGGGACCCTAGAGATCATTGAGTCTAATCCTCTGATTTTAGAAATGAGAAAACTGTGCCTCAAAAAAGTTATGGCTTAACCTGGATCATATAGCTGCTAAATATCTCAGGCAACATTTGAATCAAGATCTTCCTGGCTCTAAGTCCAGCATTTTGTCCTCTATGCCATCTAGCTTTATAAATGCTTAAGATAGGTTGGGTCTAGAAGAAACTGTAGAGTTTAGGTTGCCAGAGAAGAGAGGGAAAAGCATTCAGATTTGGAAAATGACGTGAGTGTAGCACCAAGGCCCAGAAGTGTTGGGATGAGGTTGGATTCATCAGTGGTGTAGTCAATTCATGATTGCCCTTAAATGGAGAATAGGACAAGAAACCTCAAAAGCAGTAGGGAGACACGTTTTCAAAGAAGGAAATTTTACAAAGAAAAAACTCATAAGAAGAGATTAATCTCACATTTCTGTGTATGATGAATTGACAGAAGCATCATTAGTAACAGAGCGGTTACACAGACAAGAGCCACATGCTAGATGCCAAGTCTGTCACTCAAAGATTAGCTCAGTTCAGCTCAGAAAGGCCAATCACCACAAGGTGAGCATTCATTTGGGGCCAAAGCAGGCCATGAAACCATTCACGGGGATTCAGAAGACACAATCTGTGTCTGTGAAGGGACTATGCCACTATCAACATCTCATCTTTGATATATGAAGGTAAAAAAACACATGTCCAAGCAAACTGCTGATGCTAGTTGTTTTAAATGTCCTATCAAGTTAGGCCAGGTTAAAAATGGTGAGATTCAATCTGGTGCCAGTTACTAGCCCTGAACTGGGACCTGGTCCAGAACTCCATTTGTGATCACGGAGGTTCCACTTCTTTGTGTCAGTTGTCTGACTCCCTGGGGGCTCTATCTACTAGAGTGGACCTTGTTTTGTTGTGTCCTTTAACGAGCATTAGGCTCTGGGGAGCTCCCTAATCTCAGCTGTCTATGGATTGTGGAACTAGAGTGAATATGGAGATCTTGATTACTGCTTGGCAACCACCTGTGATAGTAAGATTTGCCCCCAAGAAACTCTGCATAAACTCAACTGAGGTATCAACCCCTTTATAGTAAAGGTACACTAATAAGGAAACCTGACAAACTGGAGACAGGCAAATCAATTAGGAGGTTGTTTCAATGGTCCAAGCACAAAGTGGATCTGGAGTCAAAGGACCTGGGTTCAAATCCTGCCCTTGACACTCACTACCTCTGTGAAGTGCTTGTCACATAAGTGCTTAATAAATTCTTGTTGACACTCTCAGAAATTGAGCAAGTTACTTCATTTCTCTAGGCCTCAGTTGCCACATCTGTAAAGTGAGAGTTTTGGCCTATATAGCCTAAGAAACAGGATTTAGTAATTGATTGTATATGAGGGATGAATTAGGAAGCAATTTATACTTTTATGTATTTGCCTTATATATTAATTTTATGTATCATGCCTTATATGTACTTTATATCTCATGTAATATAATTTTTAAAATTCTTCACTTAACAAACACTAAAAGAAAAACATTTTCCATATTCACAGTAAAACAAAAAAGTGATTGTATATGAATACATGAATCTCTAATGCTTTTGAAAAAGTCTATGACAAATTCACCTTGTTACTTTCAAATCTGTCCTCCTATTGGTATTTCCTTCTGAGTGAATTTTTATAGCAAGAAAAATGTGGAATGTTCAAAAGCCCTGAGGGCTATTCCCAGAGAAAGTGGGATAGCCAGATAAAGAGGCAGAGATCTACCATAAATACTGGAAGCCATTCTTTTACCATGTAGTTAATTTCAACTTCAATTGCATCTTTCAATCATATGCTTTTTACACCCTTCCCTCTCCCGCCCCCCCAAAAAAACCTCAAAAGCAATCTAAAAGAGATTTTCTGTGCCATGTGTCCAATTTTCACTTTGTGACCAGAGTTTTCCAAGATTCCTTTTTTTTTCTTTTTCTTCCTTTGTCAAATGCAGATGAAATTTCAGAGCAGTTCATTATGAGTTGTGATATTAAAAAGAAGTCCAGGAGGGGAAAAACTGTTCAGGGAGCCCCAAACCCTGACTTGGAGCACAAAAAGCCAAGGAGAAAAGATGCACCTGCCCTGCACATTCCTACTTTTATGACAGGTGACAATACATTCCGTGGTTCATTTTGTAAAATGGGGCCAACCTGACGCTAACCAGTCTTAGGTTTTTAGCTCTGGTGGCTGTGGGCACTAAGTGGGTAAGGGAAAGGAGGTGTAGAAACAGAGTTTGACCTGCTGGGGCAGCTTTCCATCTTGGGTCAGGCTTTAGGAGCAAGAGGTGCTTCTGGGACTGGAAGAGAAGGAAAGGGCCAGAGTGAAGTGTACAGGACTTGGGATGCCAATCAAGAGATCATAGATTTGGAGCTAAAAGAGACCTTACAGGTCAGCCCCCCAACCCATCATCTTACAGATGAGGAAATCAAAAGATTAAGTGATTAGCCCTGAAAGTAAGGGGCAACTCTTCCTGACTCAATCCAGACCTCTATCTACAATACCGTTCTGCATAATGGAAAGAGGGCTGAATTTTGATCTGAGGACGTGAGTTTGAATTTTGACTCTGGCTGTGTGACCTTAAATAAGTCACTTAACCTCCAGTTTCTCATGAGCAAAATGAACGTGTTGGGCAGAATCAAGGGATCTTAGCCTTTTGTCTGTTAAGGATCCTTTGCAGTCTGGTGAATCCTGTGCAACCTTTCTCAAAATAATGTTTCAAGGTTCATAAACTAAATGCATAAGATTATAAAGGAAAACAATTATATTGAAATATATTGATCAAAATTACATTAAAAAGCAAATTCCCAGAGACCAAGTTAAGAAGCCCTGAGCTGGAGAGTCTCAGAGTTTTTTCTGGGTCTGCATCTCTGCATCTGTCATCTTATGTCTGAGGATTTCTATTGTGTGTGTGTGTGTGTGTGTGTGTGTATGTGTGTGTGTGTGTGTGTGTATCAAAGGTCTGCTTTGGGAGTTCATGAGGACTACCGTGATGCTATTTTGTGTGACTATACATGGGTGTCCAACCATTTCTCCTTCTCTGCCCCCTGGCCCACGCAGGTGTTCTTTCTGAGCATTTAACAAAAAGACGCGACATCGACGAGAAGCCACCAACAGGCAAACTGAGTTCAGCTCTTCACAGCAGTGACCTGGAGCAGAAAAAGCCAAGGAGAAAGGACACACCTGCTCTACACATGTCACCTTTTGCAGCAGGTAAAAGAGCAGGGTCAGGGCATTTGAAAGGTGAAAACCAGCACCTACGCAGCAGCTGCACCATCTGGAGAGGACAGAGACCCAGCCTTCACCCTGCTGCAGGGGCAGAGGTCAGGGCTAACCCCTACAGAGGCTTTCCACTCCTTGGTGACTTGTGATGGACAGCAACCTGGTCCTGACTTGATCTCAGCTTTTACGCAGGCTTTGGCTTCAGCTAACTAGGATCTTCTCATGTTAGAGAAAGCTGGGCACCTGGAAAGTCTATATACAGATATACACATATGTAATGCAGCACACATGTATACATGCGCACATACATGTACTATGTGTGTGTACTATACACACGCTTGTATGTATATACATATACATGTGTGTGTGTTCATGAGCAGCTTTACAAACTGCCCACCTTTTTATAATATGAGAAGCTTTTATATATATACATATATATATACATATATATATTTACACACACACACATATATATATATATACACACACATACACAAATACATATGTTTATACTATATATATGCACACATATACACTATTGTTGTTATTGTTCAGTCATTTTTCAGTCATGTCCAACTTGTTGTAACCCCATCTGGGGTTTTCTTAGCAATGACACTAGAGTGGTTTGCCATTTACTTCTTTAGCTCTCTTTACAGAGGAGAAACTGAGGCAGACAGGGTTAAGTTAATTGCCCAGGGTCACACAGCTAGTACGTGTCTGAGGCCACATTTGAACTCAGGTCTTCCTGACTCCAGGCTCACTGTTCTATCCACGGCAGTACTACCTAGCTGCCCTGTACATACCATTACTATTACTACTAATAGCAATGGAATATATATAAAGCTTTGAGGTTTTCCAGTAATTTACATGCATTATTTTTACTTGACCTTTTTACACATTATCTCTCTATCTGATATAATGATAACCAATAAACCCTGCAAAAGGCCCAGCACTGATCCTCCCAAGTTCTCATGGTTTATAGCTACCCGGATTAGCTGTCTACCAATAAATCTTTATTGATCCATGTACAGGGCACTGCTCTAGGATCTGCTGGGAAGGAGAAGGCAGGGGATCACAGACTCATTTAGAGCAAGCCCTTTTTACAGGTGAAGTAACTGAGGTCCAGAGTCACACAGCTAGTGTCTGAGGCAGGATTTGAAACCCAATTTCTTGACTCCAAGTCCAGTGTCTATCCACTATGCCATGCTGCCTCTAGGGAAGTTAAGTGACTTGCTTAGGGTCACACAGCTAGAAGGTATCAGGGACAGGACTTGAACCCAGATGTTCATGACCCCAAATCCAACACTCTTTCTATTCACCATGTAGTCTATTCTTGGCCTTCATCTTCATCTCTACCTCAACACCACTTTGGATTCTGCCCCTGATATGGCAGGCTCTGACCAGTGAGCTTTTGCCTTAGCTTGCCCAGAACCAAGCATCCATAACACCAGCCTTCCCCACATCATGCTGTCATAAGAGGTGCATAATCCTTCCCACTTCCCATATCTTCCTTTAATGTGTTTTCTTCTCTCATTAGAATATGAGCTCCTTGGTGGCAAAAACTGTCTTATTTGCTTCTATTTGTATCCCCAGCGCTTAGCAGCATGACTAGCACGTAATAAAGGTTTTCTATCCATTCTTCTCTTTGTGTCTGTCTCTCTTCTTTCTCTGTCCCTCTTTGTTTCTCTTTTCTCTCTGAAATTCTCTGTCTTTCTTTGACTCTCTGTCTCTGTCTCTCTCTCCATGTGTATGTGTGTGTGTGTATCTATCTATCTATTAAACCCACTGTCTTATTTAGAGATTCTACGTGAGGATATTATAGGATTGAAGGCATCAGTGCCTTGTAATACAGGCAGGAGTGATCGTAGGTTCTCTGTCAAAAGTTCCATTTAAAGCACATAGGGACTCCCATTTAGATGACATTTCCCACCTAACTTAGCAATTCAGAACTGCAACCAATAGCAGTCTGTTTCACTTATTCCCAATACAACATTTCATGTAGAAATCAATTGCAGAAAATTAATTCAACTTAGAGGCTCAGCCATAGATCTGGAAGGCTCCTTGTTTGACATAACCTCCTTTTTCACAGATGAAGACTCAGAAAGATCAAGTGATTTGGCCAGGGTCCCATAGACCATCCCAAAGGAAAGATGGGAGCCCTGGTTTTCCCAACTCCATCCACTGTGCAACGCTAACACCCCAATTCAATCTAATTCGATTCAATTCGGTTCAATGTACTAAGGACAGGTCGGTCACTTTACTTCACTCTTGTAGCACTGAAGGCCTATTTGAAATATCTGTTCAAATGTCTCCTAGATGAATAGAGAAGTAAAGTCGCTCCATTCCTTGAATTTGCACACCTGGGAGTACATCTGCTGATGGATTTCTCAAGGTTTTGTGGGTTGTAGTCTAAATTCTGAACAGTAGAGATTGATGAAAGGGGGGGTTATGGTGTCATTATGGTTGGTTTGTCTATTCTAGGATTTGTAGGATACTGTAATAGAGGTTCTTGTTCAAATCCAGGCTGAACTATATGGACGCTAGGTTGGACTGAGTGGCCACTGAGGTCCCTTTCAGCTGCAAGATTCTCTGGGTCTGCGACCTTCAGCCAGGAGGCCTCTGACCCCTGACACTCACCAACACTAAACCAAGCTCCTTTTCTTTCCCTCCCATCCTTCCTCCTCCTGATTTTAGCCTCTCTGCCCTCGGCTCCACCATTCATTTAGTCTCCCGTTGCTATCCTTGGGATGCCTTTTGGCTCTTCATTTTCCTTCATCTGTTGTATCCAATCAACTACCAGGTCTTGTCACTTCTACTCTCACCCCATCTCTTTCATCCTTCCCCTTCCCTCCATTCCCGCTGCCTTCCCCACACCCCCATCCCTACTATAAATTCTTGGCACCATTTTACTATTGAATTAGCTTCTGAACATATCCTACCATCTCCATCTCCTCCCTCCAATTCATCCTTCATTTAACTGCTAGAACCCTATTTCTCTATTTCTCACTTTCAGGTCACTCCTGAGCTCAAAAAGCTTCTCTTGCTCCCTATTGCCTACTGCAAAGTACTGAAATTCTTTAAGTTGGAGTTGAGGGCTCTCAGCAGTCTGCTCCCTCCTAGCCTTTCTAGCATTGCTGAGTATTTGATGCCATTGCCCTCTCTAGGAATAAGGAGTAGACTTGTGATTACAGTGGTAAAGGGAATTCCCTTTGCCCATGCAAGTCTGCACCTTCTCTTTCAAAAAAAAATTTATTTTATTTTTAATCTGTGGAATAAAACAAGTATTTCCATAACATGGCATATTTTTTTAAAAAAAGAAAAATTGCACATGAAACTGAAAATTTATTTTGTACAACTTGTTATTCCTTTTAAATATAGAAAAAGTTGCCATGTAAATTTCTCTTTTTTCTCCTTTTTTTCTTCCCTCTCTTCCCCTCTCACCCTAGAGAAGGCTACCATTAGACACAAATGTGTGTATGTGTATATACATATATATTTTATATAATATACACATACATACATATTTACATATATATAAAATTATTCTATACATACCTTATTTATCAGTTCTTTCTCTGGATGCAGATAGCATCTTTCTTCCTATGTCCTTTGTAGTTAATTTGGGTATTTATAATAGTCAAAATGACTTAGTTGTTCAACGTTGTTCTTAGAACATTATTGCTATTACTATATACAATGTTCTCTTGATTCTGCTCATTTCACTCTTCATTATTTCATGCAAATCTCTCCATGCTTTTTGAAGATCAGTGAGCCTGTCATTTCTTACAGCACAGTAGTATTCCATCACAATCATGCACCACAACTTGTTCAGCCATTACTCAATGGATGGGAATCCCTGCAATCCACAGTTCTTTGCCACCACAAAGAGAGCTGCTATCAATATAGTAGAACACATAGGTTCCTTTCCCTAATCATCTTTGGAAGAAGACCATTCCTATATATCACAAACAAAACCGTGAAAGAAGGGATAGTAAGAGATAGATCACTTAAAATAACTCTAGACAATACAAAATATTTGGGAGTACATTTGCCAAAAAAAACCCAGGAGCTATATAAACAAAATTATTTTTAAAAAACTTTTTATGCAAATAAAATCAAATTTAAATAATTGGAGAAATATTAATTGCTCATGGATAGGCAGGGCCAATATAATAAAAATGAAAATATTACCTAAGCTAATTTGTATATTCAATGCCATCCTAGTTAAATTACCAAAAAATATTTTACTGAATTAGAAAAAATAATAACAAAATTCATTTGGAAGAACAAAAAGTCAAGAATATCAAAGGAACTAATGAAAAAAATGTGAAAGAAGGAGGTTTAACAGAACCAGATCTTAAACTATATTATAAGGCAATAATTATCAAAACTATCTGGTACTGCCTAAGAAATAGCAAAATAGATCAGTGGAACAGAGTAGACATACAATTTACAGCAGCAAATAAATATAGTAACCTTGCACCTTCTCTTCAACTTAAAAGTCTTAGCGAGTTGCCTGGGGCACTGAGAGTTTAGGTGACTTGTCCAGAGCCACAAAGCCAAGAGGTGTCAAAGACAGGACTTGAACCCCAGGCCTCCAGGCCAGTTCTCTCACCCACATTACAAGCCCTAACAGGCTTCCTTTCCAGCAAAGAAGGCCCAGAATAAATGTTTGTTAGATGAATGAAGACATAAGTGAATGTCAAAAAAGATAAGAAATGGCACATCAATTACATCTTCCAGTCCTAGGACAACTTCAAACTTTCAGAATCCTTTCCTTCTTCATCTCATTTGAGCTTCCCAACACCCCCTGAGATAGGTGTTAGTATCCCCATTTTATTGATGAGGAAATGGAGGCTCAGAGAGGATTGGCAGTCAATGGCAGCTGGGCGGCACCATGGTGCACAGAGCAGTGAGCTCTTGAATTAAACACTTGAGTTCAAATCCAGCCTCAGACATTTGCTAGCTGTGGGACCCTGGCCAAATCATTTAATTTTGCTCTCCTCTGTTTGCCTCAGTTTCTTCATCTGTAAAGTGGGGATAATACTAGCACTTCCCTCCCAGGATTGTTGTGAGGATGAAATGAGATAATAATTATAAAGTGCTTACTGCATGTGGTGTTTGGCACGTAGTAGGAGCTATATAAATGCCAGTTATTGTTATTACAAAAACATGGGTCTCCCCTGATTCCCAGACTAGGACTATTCTCTTCTATCTTGACCTCTACTTGAAATCACCCTTTTCTACCTTCCCCTGGTCTTGCTTATGTGAATGAATTGTAATCAGTGCTATGGATAGAAACTCCTAAAGAATGGTGGGGAGGGCAGATGTACTGATCACACAGGAGTGCCCCCTCTCTACAGCATCTCCTCCCAAAAGTGGAAACACATTTTTTCCTCTGTGGTCTTTCTCAAGCAAACTTGTAAGTTAAAGCAGAAGAACAAGGAGCATCCAGGTACACTGCTGGGGGAGTACCCTAGCCCTCCCCGCACTCTATGACTTCTTTATCACATTGGTAAGGCAGTTAAAGGTTCTCTTGACTTCTGTAAGGTGACTTACAGTAGGGAAACAAAACAAGCTAATTCTATATGCTGTGTATTATTTATAATGCACATTATATAATCAGTAGCCAATGGCTCCACACAGCTGGCTGGTTTTTAATCCCCTTTTTTTTCTTTCTATCTCAATATAACACAAGGCAACAGCTATCTAGCAAGTGCCCACTAGGTGTTTAATATGGGGGGCTCAGCACTCGAAATGCAAAGACCAGAACCACACAGTCATTCCCCTGAAGAACACATATTCTATCTGAAAGAAAACACACATACACCATTTATGTATAGGTGCAACATCTGTGTGTTTGGGGTTGGGGGGTAGGTCAGGGAAAGTTTGTGTACAGGGTGATGCCTGCTCTATGCTAGGAAGGAAGCTCATGATTCTATGAGGCAAAGGTGGATACTGGAAATGAGAGACAAGTAAGGCAAAGGCATGGATGTGGGAACTTGACTGTCATGTACAGGGAGCAGCTAGCAGGCCAGTTTGACTAGAGGAGAAAGTATGTGAAGGGGAGGAATATGAAAAGAAAAAAGAGTAATGAGGGGGCAGATTGTGGAGAATTTCAAATTTTGCAAAGCAAGGGACCATGTCTCCAGATGCACGATCAGGAGAGACCATCTTCATATTTCCTGGCACATAGGAAGCTTTTAACAGATAAGTGTTTATTGAGTGAATTGGATATTTACCGAGAGTGGGACCAGCATTTGTGGATGTGATATCAGAAAAGAGTTTCTTACAATTAGAGGAATCCAAAAGTAGAATGAGCCATGGGGGTTGGAGAGGTGGGGATTGGGGGTCTGGGTTCTCTCTCATTGGAGGCCTTCAAGCAAAGACTGGCTGGCTACTTGTCAGCTGTGTTAGAGAAAGGATTCTTATCCTAATTGTTAGACAAGATGGTCCTAGAGTTCCCTTCCATCTCTGAGACTCTGGGATTTTGTCATTTATTAGACATAGCAGAGGCTTGGGATCTAGAGGACACAATCTCACATCTCTAAATCCCAGAGCCTTTATTTGTGAAAATTAGGGGGTCAAACTAAATGGTACCCCTAGGC